CACAAAAATGTTCATCAAATATTTCATCTAATCTGATTATAAATTTTGCTAAATTAAACCTATGATTTGATGATTAAATGATGCATTTTTTTTAATAAAGTATGTAACGACCATAGATAAACAAGTATAAATAGATAGCAAACTGGACCGCTTTTTGATTATTAACTTCCCGTAGGGTAAGTTATAGTAATCGCAAAAAAATCGAAAATGAAAATTTTTGCATTTCTCGACGTTTCAAAACCTTCTGAACATTTTGGCATACCTTAGAAAAAATGGATGTATGTGTGTGTGTGTGTGTGTGTGTGTATGTATGTATGTGTGTGTATGTATGTGCGGATACAAATTTTCGTCGACGATTTCGGGAACACGGATCAACCGATTTGAATAATTCAAAAAACATTCGATTTGTATTGATAAGGAGACGTGCTGATTAGTTTTTGGAAAAGGCAGGTCTAGCCGTTCCGAAGATACGGGGCTAAAAGTGCCAAGAACGGTACCTCCGTTTTCAAGAGAACGGAGCGTCCGATTTGAATAATTCAAAAAACATTTTACTTGTATTGACAAGATGTAGAATTGATCATTTTCATGGTCATTTGATCATTTTCATGGAGGCAGGTCTAGCGGTTTCGGAGATCTAATAAAAAAAGTAAAAAATAATGCCATTCGGCGGTTAAAAATTATCATTAGACATATGCACATCAAATTATCAGATATTTTATAGAGATTTTAACAATAAGTATATTTTTTTTACATTTTTATGGGTTCCGTACCAATGCTTATGCGTTAGACGGTGGCGCGGCACATGCGCGCTTTGACATTTCGTCTCTATGCAGTTCAAGCAGTGCGATTGCTTTGAAAAAAAGTTCAGAATTTCCAAAATATGTCAAAATGAAGAAAACATTTTTTTCAAAAAAATTTTTTGTATCCAAAAAAAAATTTTTTTTTCAAAAAAAAATTTTTTTTTTCATATAATTTTTTTTTTCAAAAAAAGTAATTTTTTGTCAAATTTGTAGTTTCTCAAATCTATTTTTTTTTAATTAATTTTTTTTCAAAAATGTTAATCGTTTTTAAAAAAATAATAATTTTTGGTACGGGAAGTTCCAGCAATTTGCCTTAAGGCACGATGCCCTAATTGCCTTAAGACAGAATTCCACTTACAGCTAGTTTTAACTTTAATTTACCGCTCCTGCTATAGAGGCGCGACGAGTGTAGCATGAAAATTTACCCCTAGGTTCAATTCTAGATAAATCCAAATTCCTAGGTTTAATTCTAAGATAAATTTATATATAATATTGTTACAATAAATCTGAAATTTTAATATATCAAATAATAACAAAACATACTCATAAAAAATATATTTTCATATATATTAAAAACATTTTTAAAAATGAAATAAAATTGATATTTAAGCAATAATTAAATATAAATTATAAAATATTATATATCAATAAAACATATTTACATAATTTAAATAAAATACAATTATTAATAAATAGACAAGATTTTCATTCATCATTCTCTCTCTTAGTTACACTTTCTATATAACTTCTTTTTCTATGTAAGACAAGTCGATGAAAGCTTCACTATTGGTTTATGTTTTGTGTATATATATGTTCATTATTATGTGTATTAAACATACTTATTATGACTAAAATTGAAACTAGTACAAAATTTAAATGATACGTAAAGTTCATTTTTCTGTATGTTAAATATCATTAGAATTACTAAAAATCAAAATTAGTAAAAATATTAAATATTTCATTAACATAATGTGAATTAATAGATTATATTTCAGATTTTAATATCATCCTCAGTTCTACTTTTTAAAAAAAAAAATATTATATATTTTTAGAATATTTTTTGTGTGAACAAAACATTCTTAGAACAATATTTAATCAATGTAAGGCTATTATTGATCATAGAATAATTGAAGTAAAAATAAATTTTAAAACATGCTTATATTATTAACTGCTAGCTAAATACATTAAAAACTCTTATATTTCGTATATATTTTAATTATATAGTTTGTAGTATTAACATAATTAACCACTATTACTTATCTGTTAACAAATTACATCGTCCTGGAACGCTCAAATTTATCGAGTGTGGTATTATTAGCCACAAAAATATTGTATCGGGTTCATTATTTTCATTTGTGTTTTTTTTATTTTACTCGAAGTATCTTATTATGCTTTTATTTGTCAATAGTTAAAAAAATTATATAAACTAGAAAAATATAAGTATAATTTTTATATTACATATAGACTCGTTATAATTTTAACTAACAACTATTCATACTCTTCAATATACATTGAAGAATTCAAAGCCAACCAAATTATTGAAACGTTGCTAATACATCAAGATTTATTTCATAATCATGAAAATATGATTGTAAAAACATTAAATTTAATTTAATTATGCGGTTAATTTTGGCAATAATTGCATACAAGCATAGCATTGCTGGAAAAAGTGTATATAATATAAAGTAATAGTGGACAAAAATACACAAAAAATACCAATTGGATTATCTGAAGTCTAACATATATAAAATATATAAATAATTCAAAAGGAGTGCAAATATATCGAGTTTAATTCTACGCAAAGTTCACATATCAATATATGAATTTGAATCAATTAATGGGATATAATTAGCATAATATGCTAACAACTAGGAATACTTCACAACCCATTGAAAATTTGAGAAGTATTATTGTCGTGTTTTGTCATGAAACATATTACCACGTTATATACGGATGTGCCCTAATTAATTTATGAAGCTCTTGTTTTGAACACCGTTTTAGATTGTTATTCTGTATATAATTTAATTCCATATTGTATATATTGCATAGTTAACATGATAATCATATTAAGCCCTACATAATTGATTATATAATAATAAATCAATATGAGGAAGGGTTAAGTGATGATGTTCCAGTAGAAGGACCATTATATGAGTATGTTAGATGGATGTAATGTGCAGAGTATGTTGCCGTGCACTTATGTAAATGAGCTTTTTACATATATGAATGCAGAAGTTTTTTTCATTCGAGTACTTCACTTTATTCTCATGAGTTTTATCATACATGCTGGGAAGAGTAGGTTCATAATTAAAACATAGAGTACAAGGTTTCACGATTATAATGTAATGGTTAAAAAAATTATTTTAGAACTATCGATAATATTGCTTTTATATTACAACTTAAATGTTAAAGAGATTCTTTCAAAAAGTTTACTATTTATCCTTCATTAAGTGAATAATTCACACTAGACTCGTACTTCAAATAATATACATTCCTAAACGAGTTTTATAATAAAATGTTACACAGTGCTTATTTTTCTGCCATTTTCTTACTATATTAAATTCGGTGGTAACATTCTACAAAATTCAAATTCTTAAAATTTTAACACTCAGTTTTTCATTCTCAAGAAGCAAACTCATTTTGAACTAAATGAAATTTTATTAATACCTACGCTTATTTATTATGATATAAAACTTATTATAATATAAGACTAAATTTGGGATATGATAATCTTACTATTATCATACTATTATATTATACTCTACTATTATATATCATAGATAATTTAACTATTATCTATTATACCGTGAGCTAGATTATTATTTGTTAATTAACTTATTATATATATATATATATATATATATATATATATATATATATATATATGTGTGTGTTTATATATATGTATATATATATATATATATATATATACATTTATGTATATATATATATATATATATATATAAACATATCAGAAACCCTACATACCTATTTAATATTAATGTGTTATTTTTCTACCTTACGCCCTATGTATTATCTCTACCTATATATTGCCTATACCGGGAATTGAACCCGGAACCTCCGCGTGGCAGTCACGCACCTTAACCACTACTCTATCGGGCCTCCCCACTAAAAATATATTATGGGACTCACTGTTGTTTAGGTACTTAATACTAAGGTGTCGCGACGACATGCGAGAAAAGACGATTGATCGTAGCGTAACGGTGGCGTAGTGGTTAAGGTCGTAGCCTGTCACGCGGCGGGCCCGGGTTCGATTCCCGGTAAGGGTGAAAATAGTATGTAAGCGAAATTGTAGGCGTAAGATAATAAATGTTAGGCGGTTTAGATATAAGTGTAAGGATTGAGCGTAAATGGTGTGGTGGTAAAGGAACGTACGATATAGTAGTCATAAGGCGTATAACCACGTAAAATGTAATGTTTAGGTATGGTTTAGGTATAGGTGATACACATACGCAAAAAGTAATTTATGATATTAGGGGTTATCGTATAAAAATTGCGAATGTTATATAGATTTAGTTTATAAATATTCTTTCTTCTGTACAAGTATTTAGTTTGCAAAAAACTACCATTTTTTGTACATTTAGCTCCGTATCTTCGAAATGGCTGGGCCTGCCTTCGCTAAAAACTAATAACCACTTCTCCCAATCATTACTAATTGAATGTTTTTTAGTACATTCAATTCGGATGCTCCGTTCTCTCAAAAACTCGATTTCTATTATTTGCGCTCTTTGCTCCGTATCTCCGTAACGGCTTGCCTTTGCCAAAAATTAATCAGCACATCTCCTTATCAATAGGAATCAAATGTTTTCTGAACCATTCAAATCGGTTGATCCGTACGCCCGAAAACGTGGACGAAAAATTGTATCCATACATACATACACACACACATACACACACACATATATTTTTTCTGAAGTATGCCAAAATGTTCAGAAACCGTCAAAACGAGAAATGTAAATATTTTCAATACCGATTTTCGGCCCATTACAATAACTTACCCTACGGGAAGTTAAAAAAGAGATATCTCAGAGGAGATAATCTCTTTGAATGCATTAACACCCAGCATATTGGCTTAAAAAATATATTATTATAATCTGCAATAAATCTATGCAAAAAATGAAGAAATTAGTTTTTATTAAATTTTCCATGATTTTTGTTTATCTTTGACTTTTATTCCAGGCTTGGACTTCAGCGGCCGCCACTGGTGGGTGGTGACCGGCATCCTTCTGATAGCCGGCGCGGCCGGCGTCGGTGTCCCTCTCGCCCTTCGAGTCGCCGAAGGGCTGCCGCTCGAGGAACGGCTCCAAATGGCGACTCGACTCCTCACCGAAGTGCCTCTGATAGACGGACACAACGATCTCGCTTGGAACCTCAGGAAGTTTCTACATAACCAGCTCAAGGATTTCAAGTAAGTTATTGTTCTTGTTTGTTTCATTTCATTTGTAGATTTGGTGCAAACTTTTGAGATAATGGTTGTTATATGTCGGTTTCTTAGTGAACTTGTACAATCATAACAGGGTGGTTAGGTGTTAACCAGCTTTATGATGAAATTTAATAATACAACATTTACCAATATTTAGTAAAGCAGTAAAGTATTACTAATCATTTAGTAAAGATCATTATTCAATACCTTTATGATCATTACTTAATACAAAATTGCAACTGCTATTTTTTATTTAAAATCCGCGCTAATCAGTAAATCCTAAATATTATTTTTGATTAGAACTATTTTTAAAAATTTTGACAAATAATTTTAAACTACACCTATCCCTCGTTTAACACGGTACTCGTCTTATAAGGTAAACATACGCCCCGGATTGGCCGGGACAGTCCCAATTTTCCGCCGTGCGTCCCGGCTTTTTCTAAAAGCAAATTTGTCCCAGTTTTAGGTGTTTTTTCTCGGATTGTCACGGATGTTTAAACATGTTTTGATTGACAATATTTTATTTAAATATATTTCAACAAGAAAATTTGAATCGAGAAAATATGCATGTAATTTTTTAGCTCACCTCCCCCCTGCTCTCACACACATTATAATCCGTCCTGGACTTTATGCAAAAAAATATGGCCATGTTAGTTTTACAGGTTTTCGATCTTACATGATTGTTGAGAATATTTTTTACAGAATTTATTAATTCTGCATTTACATGGAATTATTAACACTAATTAATAATTTGTTTATATATACAATGACATTAAAAGTTATTGTAGGTAAAAGCTATTTTAAACACACAGAAAATTTAATTTTGTTCATAAAACGGATAGTTTCCATACCATAATGTATATAGGATAAGGTATGGAAACATTCCGTTTTATCAACAAAACTAAATTTTGTGTGTGTTTAATCTAGTTTGTTTGTAATATCAAAACAAAGATCATCATTGTTTTTTAACTTTGTTTTTAATTAGTGTTTATATATAATTGATAGCGTATTCAAGGCAAACAAAGAACAATCATGTTTCACAAAATCTTTCATTTATAATAAAATTTATTGTTCTGCAATGGCAAAAGATGAAATTAAATAAACTAGAGAGTAGAAAAAAGGTTATATCTATAAAGACCAATTTTAATTTTACTCTATAAAAAATGCAATACTTATATTTTTTTTTGTATTTTATTTTTTAAATAAATGATTTTTTTTATAATTTATTAAATGTTTGATATAGAATATATTAGTATTCATTATTTGTTCATTGTAATAATTATTTATTATATCAAAAACTTACAAAAGAAGCTTTTTCATAGTGATTTTCGTTTACCACGGTTTTTCCATATAAAAGTGAATTTTTCGAGTTACACAAAAAAACTTTACATTTTACAAAAATTTTTCACGTTTCATCTAAATTTTGACTCAAATATAACATTATATTCACTATTTATCTATCTTTAAAATTGATACAAATTACACTCATCAGAAATTAAAAATCGATGATTAGTCCATAAATATCAAATTTCTTGTGATAGGATTTTGTTATTAAATGGTTTATGTTCAAGAGAGTATTATGGTTAAATAAATTTGTAGTATTATAGTTGTAGTAGTATTTATTTAAAAAAAACGATTCAGATTTGTGCGCTAATTATGATTATTTTCACTGATCTCAATAGTCTTGATGTTTTGATAACTATAATATTTACAGTCTTGGAATGCACTAAGAATGAGTATGATTAAAATTAAATGCATTTCTAATATGTCAAATCTACATATATTATGTCCATATTTATATACATATTTAATAAATCATAGTGCTCCAGTTTCAAATCCTTGTTTCAGGCAACCTTACCATATTGAGAAAGAATGATCAAAGTGTTATAAAAATAGTGATATTTCTTTTATAATTGAATATGTAGATCAAAGTATGTTACTATGTAAAAATACATTTTAGTAAGATAAAAATATAACATTACTATGAAAAAGACCGAGTTGTCTTGAATATTTGAGTTTACGAATACTATACAGATGGTGCAAAAATTTACTTAATGACGTATGTTAATAACAAATTTAAGAAGCTTTCAATTGGCGTTCGTTCTTTCTAAATGTTTATATTAATAGCTAATACTATTAGAGATTCATTTTTTATTTATTTGGAAGCATGGGCGCTCTAGGGAGCAAAGAAATTCGAAAATGTCTTTGTTAAGGACCACCCTAATATATATATATATTAGGGTGGCTGAATTATATATATATATATATATATATATATATATATATATTCAGTATTATTTTCTTTGCGTGACCTATTAATTTTTTCAGAAAGGCAATACCAATTTTAATTACTTAAGGTTTTTAGATACTCACTAGTCCTTCCAATTCCTAAGAACTTGCCTCGTACTATCTGTTTCAACCCACCCCGATCAGATCACGTAAAATCAGTGATCCGTTAAATTGCAAATATTGCTAATTCACATCCTGCTATTACTAATTTTCGATGGGTTTCTGTCGAGGCCATAAATACATGTCCGAGGAGGATGCTTAAGCACTACCCTTGTTAGGAGGACGTTTGTTTACATTTAATCAAGCGCTCTTAGTTCATAGCGTATTTAATGATCCCTCTCTGGCTCCTCCGTCACAGCCAAAACTTGTTTCTAAGAAATATAATATTGTGCTATGTAATATGTTGTTCTATGACGAAGTGTATCAATATTGAGATTTGACTTAAGTAAACGTTTAATTACCAAAGCAATTAATTAATGCGTACTCAGATAGATAGGTTTCTATTGATTTATTATTAGTTGTCATAATATATATATATGTATATATATATATATATATATATATATATATCAAGCTCATGTGTCTTGACAGATGTCCTGAAGATGGAACGTACATAGTTCCGAAACGTCCCAAAAAATGGTAGTCTTGTATTTGTAAATATTTTGTAGAGCTTCGAAAAAAGAATCCAAATGTAATAAAAAGCAAAAAAGTTTTTTTAAAAAAAAACATTTCTTTATTTACTGTCGACGTTTCGAAACTAGGTACGTTCCCTCTTCTCTTAATAAGATTTAAAAAAACAATATATTTGAGAAAAGTAGAAAATGCTAGATTTTTTAAATAAAATGAATAAATTTGTAGAAGAAATAACATTACAGATATATGACAATATAATCAAAATGAAAGTAATAAAAATAAATGAGAAGAATATATAACAAAATATTAGTAATGTTAGAAAATTATAAAGTTTTTAAAAACAGGATTAGAAAAAAAGCAGAGTAATTACATGCATTATTGATCATACACTAACACTTTTTTACCAAATTTAAGAAAAATATGTGTATGTGTGTGTGCAAACAGATTTTTTTGCCGTAAATTGGCGTCTTCTCAGAAACAATCGAGCCAATTTCAAAAATTTTAACATTTAAAAACCGTCCCAAAGATATTGGTTGGGAATCGACCTGATTAGTTTTTGGTAAAGATCGACCGGGCCGTTTTCTTGTAATAAAATGTTAAAAAAATCGACCATTTTTATGATTTTTGTACGGTTGATACCATAGTCTAATTATTAGACTCTAATAGATCATACTAAAATATTTCGGCCCTACGACAAGTCGTTTTATTTTAAAAATTAGTCAAAGTTTGCAAAAATTAGAATCGTTTTTTTTTTGGTATTTGTCAAAATTAGACTTTTCATCGACGTCAGAAATTTAAAAGCCATTTGACATATTGTGACGAATTTAGGGGGTTGATACTCCCCTTTCTTAGGGTAAATGCAACGACTGCCTAATATTACATCTAGCGTTGCATCCCCAACGAAAGGGTTACACCAACTCCTAAACCCGACTTATATAACCGCCCTGTAATTACCTGTGGAAAAGCCAACTAGCTACGCGAATGAAACAGAATGTACTTTCAGCTTATTTAATCATTACTAATTATTGTTACAGATCCGAGGGAATGGCTGTGCCTACGCACAGCCATGGTTCTATACTTAAACCCTAGTGTACTGAGTTATTATTATTAAGTACTATACTAGCGGGGTATAGTATTACAGATATAAAAGAGTATACTAAACGGAATACACGGATAACTAATAACGAGGACGGAGGGAATAGCTTTTAAAACAATAATACATCTGACCTTTACTGGAACGGGTTCTCCTCTCCTGGCACAACACACACACCACTATACACAAAGCGGGTCCAAGGGCTGACGCCCTGGACGCGACCGACCATCCACAGAGGATGTTACAATTCTTAATGATCTCTTTCAACCCCCAGACTGGACCTTATATTGGCATCCCTATTGGGCGTGGTGGGGGAGCGTCATTGCCTTGGTGGTTATGCAACCCTTTTGACGACAATACCGATTGTCGTTACACGCCCCCCTGTCACAGTAGAGTCGGCCTCGGCTCTTAAATTCAAAGTTGAAATTATTGCCCTCTCCTGGTTTTTTCCGGGTTGTTCCGGTGTTTTTCGTAGGGTCCTGTTTTGCCCTTTGGTCCTCGTCTTTGGGTTGGCTAGGTTAACTGAGTTTGCTCAAGTGTGAGCCTTGGCTACTGGACGATGATTGTAGTTGTGGTTGTGTGCTGGCCATCGTTCAGGTGTTGTGGTTCCGGTCAGATATTCCTAGAATCCTGGTAAGCTATTCCCCCTTTGATTACAAACTCAAAACACGTAGCAGCTAGTAAACATAAACTTACATATACACAAGTCTGATAAAAAAATACATCAACATCATTAATACAAAAAAAAACGAAAACAAAATCCTTCAGTAACACAAAAATTACAATACAAAAATAAGTCCGTTTGCTTAAGACTATCTTAACCTATTTCGTTCTCAAAGAAACCGTGTTGGGAAAAACTGTACTCAGCAAATTCAGAAAAAAAAGAAAAAACAAGATTAGACTCAGAAAAAAAAGTAGTTATATACCACAGACTAACAAAAGACAAAAACTTAATAAAAAAAATATTCGA